GGGTTTTGTTCAAAGTAGCTGTTATCCACATAGATCTTTGATATGAATTAATATTTTTTGGTAATTCATTAAATGTCGCCGACTAAAAAGTAACTAGTAACTAGTACTCTGAGAAGTTTTTGAGAGGAGTACTTTGTACTTTTACTTAAGTACTGTTTTGACACCAGTACTTTTACTTGTAATTGAGTATTATTTCAGCAATGTAACAGTACTTGTACTTAAGTACAAATTTTCAGTACTCTTTCCACCACTACACCTTTAACAAGTGAGCCAAACACTGACTCCTCCATGAACGAACCGTGACCTCCAGTGGTTCATTCAAAATAAGATCTTAAAGAACGAAAGACAGAAAAATGAAACAAAAACACAAGGTCCCTCTGATATGAGAATTACGAATGCTGATGCATTAGCTCAGAGGAAGGTGCTCAGGGACTGTGGCAATCCTTCCGTGTGATGTCATCACTTCAACACAAGGTCAGGTGAGGGAGAACAGGACTCACAGAGGGGAAGGCAGACAGGAAGACACAAATCAGACATATAAAACAGCCAGGTCACAAGTGTGTGTATGAGAGAGTGTCAAGAGCTTGACTTTAAACTTGAAGGAATGGAGCAACACGTCCTGCAGACATATTTCATCAGACAAAAGCAATTTAAGCCGGATTCTCTGAGATTAGTCACTCATTCTCCTCCACACGACTGGCAACTGACCAAACGCTGTGTGCTCAGACATTCTGCCATCTGAGGGGAGGATAATATCTACACACCCAGTGTCCAAACAACAGAGAGAGAGAGAGAGAGACAGTCCGAGACTTCAGGGAGGACAGGCGTCTGATAACAGAACCCATCGAGTTAATCATTCACACATTCCTCAGGGATCTCTGGCGTTTTATGTGTCCTCTGAAGTAAAGCTCTATTCTTTCTATCCTTATTGCTCTGCACGTCACTACAATAGCATTAGTGTAATATGAGAAGTCTTCATATATAGTTTACTACCAAAATGAAAGACAAAACAAGACTTTTACATTTTTACACTTTGGTGAAAGGCTGTTTTTCACTGCACTGGTCAAGTTTTTATTTTCATGCTTCCATAGCATGTCATCTTTCAGGCTAGTGAAAAGAGAACATCCAGAATACACATTAAATGATTATTTAAATATACTTTATCTATTTGTGTCTGTAGTTTTCAAATACAATACATATCTTTAAAGGCAGCTTCCTCTAAATGAGTTTATCTCATGCACTGAGCCAGAAATCTCCACTTCAGTAGTACTTGCGTACACCAGAATGTCCAGTTTTAATCCAATATATATTCTGAAGGTTTGTTCATATCTCATTAGTCTGAATTATATAAGATTTTATTCCTAAAATATGGTGAAATTGACTGTTGACAATATTTTTATTTATTTATGGAGTGATAAAAAAAAGAGGTATCCAAAATCTCTTTGTAAAAAAAACTTTGATTCTAATGTCAACAGAATGAAACCATCATTTTAAACTTGTCTTTATCCAATCTTCAGATTTTGTTTTGGATATTTTTATTAGATAATGTGAATGCAGAGTATTTTAGCTACACAAACTTACACAAGTACATTCACACAATCCAGCAGCTTTGAATGCGAGTGTGCACATAAAAGTGTGAGCTGTCACATTTAAAAAAAAAAAAGTATTTTGAACATGCAGAATTATTATTTTTTTTGAGTGAACTGTCAAAAACGCATCAAAGTTTGTTAATCACCATAAAAAAAAAATCATTCCGACAGCTCTTTTTTTATAATACAAATGTAATTTATTCTACAAGATGAATGAAAGCTTGTTAGCATGTTCATATCTGGAGCTGTAACCTCGTTACAATCTTATTTATCAAAGCTGTTATCCAAAAATTGTGGGAGTCAGAGGGCGAGCTGTACTGCTGCAACATAGGAAGTATTATTAATACCTTGGTATGGCATGAGTAGCAAAGCTTTAAAGTGGTCTTAAATATAGAACCATGGCTGTTAAATAGTGGGAACTCCTCTTTTATCTCTGTGTGCATCGCCTATGGAGTACCCCAAGGTTCTATATTGGGCTCCAAATAATGCCATTAGCTCCTGCCCTACTCCTTTTAAACATATTGGTTTAAGTTTTACAACAAAGTCCCTTCAAATGACCCCTCTATGCATGAAAGCTTCCAAAGTAAGATATTTCTGACCTGGCATCATGACAGTTGTAGGGACATTGGCTTCTGAGGTGAGAGAGAGACGGCCACCCTTGCCCAAGCGGTCACAGAGCAGCGTGATGTGTTTCTTCAGGCGTGACATGTCTTTTGGGATGGTTAGTGGGCCGGTGCTCAAGCTGATGGCCTGATCTTTGGGGCTGCGTGACAGACACGATTTTAAGAGGTGGGAGACGGCTGCATCCACGCTTTCCTCCCAGCCCTGAAAAACATATACAAACTGAGCTTTGCAAATATAAGAATTCACCAGTTGAAAGTAAATAAACAAGGTCCTGCTTGAGAGTTTTGTGTTGTGGTTGATGTGAAGTGTGAAGTTTATGATTTTCACACTTTCACACTAATGACTAGAGTACAAAGCAACAAGAAATGTTTAAAACTCTCAAACTTTATGAGTAGTGCCTCTTAATTCATTTTTATTCATTTATATTCACCTTATATTGTCTTATTTATTTTTAATACTTTCTCATTCTTTGTTTGCAATCATCTGATGTTTTTATTCAATGAGCCACAAACACTCCCTACCATCCACTTCATTTTTCTAGCCACATCTAAAACTCGATCTACATACAAACAAGCCATAAACATTTAAATGGAATTTCTGTGTGAGTGCATGCTTTTTTTTCTACTTTTTTGTTGTTGCATGGGTTGTGAAGTGCATTTTGCCACATGCCTCATGAATGGAAAGTTACTCCCTGTGAACAGAGATTTTTATGTGTGTGTATACGCACACACACATAAAAATCTCTGTTCACAGGGAGTAACTTTAAGTCTGGCCTGCAGCATCTCCAGCCCACCCTTTTGCCATCAGGCAGACTAGAGAGGCTCTGAGAGATGGGCTGGGGTGTTGACAGGCAGGTGGAATGTGGGACGACTGTGTCGCCATACAGACAGCCCTTAATGAGATCTAATAGCAGGTAATCAGCCTTGTTACGCTGATGACAGGGGCGAGCCCTTTATTGACTACAGAAGATAAAGGAGAATCAGAGGGACAGAAAGAGGAAGACATTGATAAATCAGATAAAAGTCTCCAATGGAGGAAATTAGCGGATTACACCAGCCTGAGTAATAAAAGACGCTCAAGACACATGAGTGCTGTGTGTTTTGGCATACTGAATCACACTCTCTATGAATTATCTACAGAGAGTTTAGAGATCCAAATATTGTTAACAATCCCGAGTAAGAAACTCTCTCCAGATAAAATAATATTTCCATATGTGACTGTATAGCTGAGGACCCAACAGACAAAGACTAGATTATCACATTTTTGAGTGTTGCTTGATGGCACAGAATACAGGGATGTTGTGGATGCCAGGCATTGTGGTTGCTAAAATGTTCTGGGTGGTTGCTAAGGCATTGGTTGCTATGTACAGTGGAGTAGCTTTCTCATAAAAAGTGGTGGGAACAGTGGCATGATGGGTGGTTAGGCTGATTCAAGCAATTTTTTGTATGTAGGGTAAGCAGAGACTGGGGCAACTAGGTCTTAAATCGGACGGGATGAGCAAATTCTTGCGCACGACTCAAATATCACACCTGTGTGCAGCAATGCTTGTACAGTATTGTGCCATCAGAGCTACATTTAAACCTGCCAATATACAGTTTGATGACCGAATGAGTCTGGTAGTGTATTTTCTAAGTCAAGTTTGCATTGTTGATCATTATTCAGATAAAAAATATTTTCTTTGCAGACAGAATGCGATTTCTGCAATTTAGAACACAATACAAAACAGAATTATCGCAAGCAATCCTCACTGCCATTGTATTTACATCTTAAATTCATATAATTTTTTTACTTCATGATAATGATTTCATGTTATTTGTGTGCTGAACTAAATCCATGAGAGTAGCATATAGGGCTGCACAATTTGAGGGGGAAAATTTTTTTCATAAAAATTGTGACAATTCAGATTTAGAACACAATAACAGAATTATCGCAAGCAATCCTCACTGCCATTGTATTTACATCTTAAATTCATATAATTTTTTTACTTCATGATAATGATTTCATGTTATTTGTGTGCTGAACTAAATCCATGAGAGTAGCATATAGGTAGG